ATTTCTTATATTTTATGTGTAGTTTCTTATATGAAAGTAAATATAAGATTTTATACAAAAAATTCTCCAGGCAATCGGTAAGAAATTCTGAAACTATTGACGTGCAATTTGTACCAGTTGTAAATTGTGTTCAGTTCCCAAAAAAAAAAAAAAAACTTTTCTTAGAAGCCTAGAATAAGCGGGAAGGTAGTATGGAATAAAAAGCGTCAATGTGCTTGTATGTGTAGGCTGTTGTGAACATTGGACGGTACACATGGAAACATTGTTTTAGTAAACTCTCATATTGCCGTTCAATAGAATATATAGTCAGCTTGAAATTTTACTAATGGAGTCATGCAGGCAAAATTAAAAATAATTTGAATTAGTTTAAACATAGAATTAGTATTGCAGTACATTTAATCTAAATAAGTAGCAACATTATTAAAAAAAATGTAAAGGCAAAACAGAAGTACTTTAAAGTTAGCAAAAATAAAAAAAACTTACTTCGAGTACCGCATGTATTCCGCTCGATAAAATTGCGTCGCGATTGAGAGAGGGCGGGAAGTGCTCTTCAAACTAGGTAAGACACATCATTTTGTTTTATCGACCGGATGTACGCGAAGTAATTTTTTGCCAACTTTAATATCATGGACTTTCGCAAAGTAACGCCTGATTCTATTAATTTAGAAGTATTTTAATTTGGATGACAGTGTACAAGTGTTGCTACTTAATGCTTTATCATTCAAGTGTGCATGATATACGCACTTACATAAGATGAAACAGGGTGGGAAACAAACGAGATGGAAAATGACTATTAAAACACACGAAACTTACATAAAATGTAGCTAATTTATGACATTATACTTGGCCAAAGTTAAATGGCATATATAGAGTGTTACAAAAATATTTAATAGAACGCTATTTCATAATTTGAACTTTTACAATTTGTCGAAGGAAATCAAATCAGTCTGTATACAATATTTCTGTATTAAAAATTTCTCATCCCCTTATTTCCAGTTTCCTCCTATGAAACCAATACTCTGCGCATGACACTTTGCTGTCTGCACTGTGCTTATTTTATATATATAACACTTATTACTAGGTGAACATGACAATTACTCTCGATATGTGGATATTCCATCTAACAGAGCATGAATTGTACACATAATAACGTATTACGGTTAGTTACACGTGCCACGCAACTATGAGATCTAAATCGTTAGTTTAGGATTCTAAATTGGAAGACTACATGGTACGACTACATACATTATGAACTTAAGTCGATATACGTTAAATGTTATCAATAAATATATTTGTATGTAATTTGAAATAATGACTGATACGTGTAGATCGGAGCTAACAGTACTGAAAATAATATTATTAATAAACGCACACGATAGGAACACGCATTTGAACATTTTGCTTCTTCATGTTGTACACAAACTTGTTTTGTAGAATATGCCAAAGAGAAATCTAACTAATCTTCACAGATTGCGAACCAATATTGGTGATTCTTTTTTTTATTAAATAGATTATACTTCAACGGCTGTCCCATATACATTTGTAGAAAAAATTCACCCCTAAGGGTAGAATAAATAACTTCTTTTTTGGCAATTTGAAGTCGGTATTTATTTTTTGTTAAAAGTTATAATCATGTTATATTGCGTGTACAGTAACCTGTGTTAAACGTTTGGCACAGTGGATAACCTACAAAGGGCATACGATATTTAGTAGGGATTTCGTTTCACAGGTTATGGTACACGAATAATCTTGAGTCAACTCCTATGCCAGCAAAACTAAAGTTGTTGCAACTTTAATAGCAGATTAAGCACTTGCTCAGATGTCCAGAAATCCATCATAAGGAAAGCATTTCCGGTATATATACTGGTATTTCGGGGACGTATGAAGTTTATACTTAATGAAGCAGTGTGGCGCGACTTTCATAGATTTGATTACTTGCTCACATATGTATGAGGTTACCAGTTATCACATTATAAAATACGACCGCGTAGATTTGCAAAAAAGAAAAAAGTTTTTGGCTGGAACTTGACCCTCTACGGAATGCTGCTCCAGTTTTATAGTTTAAATAATTGTCTGAAGTGGATGTTGATACGTAAGAGTGATGCGATTTTGTGAATTAAGTATCTGCGAATGTAAACTCGATCGTATGAAAAATCGTATATATATATAATAAGGAATAAATTATTACAACTTAGCTATATGTTACCGAAAAAGGCATTTAGAAATAAAACTTAAATTATAATTTAATTCCAATAAATAACAACATACAGTCCTATTTATTAGGGTAGGACCACGCTCTCACAGAATACCAGCGTAAAATAGCAGCTTAACGCTGCTGTGTTTGGTATGGTGAGTGTAGAGAACCGGAGACCCTTTTTACTGGAAAAGAGGCATTCCATCGTAGTCTTACGGGTGACAAGTGACAACGCATCTGCATTTCGATGCTTAATCGAGGATAGATCTAGATGTGTATAGGCCACAGCATTCACATACCATCAGGTGGACTATGTGCTTGTTTGTCACCCTTACTCTGCATAAAGAAAATACTATATTACATTTTACGTCTTCAAAAACGTTACAGAACTAGGAATTTATCTCGTATCGTGTATTATAATTAAAAAAAAAAACCAGTATGATTGAACTAAAATTTAAAGCGTTCCAATCCACCGCATGAGTCATCTTCACATTTTCCATAAGTTTCGATGAGAAATTACAATTTAAAAATTCAACTAACCGTTAATTAGCGAGTCAATTTAAACATTTTACACTAGACTTTACACTAAAATAATATTTACACTTGGCGAATTCACAAAGCTTTTCATTTATCACAGTTACATACTCGTACTTTGCACTCACTCTTGCAGTTTAATTGCTCATTAATTTAAGCAGTGAGTAAGTTTGCTACGAAATTTTCGGTTTATGTTAAAGTAGTAACTACACTTGTTACAAAATGTGCACACGTTTCCATTGAATTACACTTAGAATGTTTTAGAAATACGGAAGGTTTTCGTACAAGTATTAAGACTGAGAACCAGTGTAAGGAAAACTCAAAATTACATAAATAATATATATATAGAAACGTGGTAGAGCCACGTTGCAGCTATATCATGGCTGTGGCACGAATGGGTCGGCTCGATCGGGATAAAACCACGCTCTTACAGAATACCAGCGTTAAACAGCAGCACAAAGCTGCTGTTTCGTATGGTTAGTATAGAGAACCGGAGACACTTTTTACTGGAAACGAGGCATTCCATCTTAGTCCTCACGGGTGACAACGCATCTGTATTTTGATTCTTAATCGAGGATAAATGTAGATGTCTATCCTCGATTAAGAATTATGTTTCAGAGCAAATATTGACCCGTGCTACTGTACTACACTGTACTACGAACTATACTGTAATTACGAACAAGTGTAATGACTTCTCAACACTTCACACACTACTAACATACATGTAACACACACACACACACACGCACACACACGCGCACGCACACACACACACACACGCACGCACATACACACACACACACACACACACACACATACACACACAAACACACACTCAGACTTGTCTTTTATATGCTTAAATAATTTAATTACAACTTGCACTTCAATGTTGTGTTTTGAAATGTGTTAAGTGAAAAAAGAAGTTCAAAGATATGACATTTTTTATTTTAATTGATATATTTTTTCGTTATTCGATTTTGACACTGTCGATTATTCGAATGTTGAAGTCGATGTAGTAAAGTTTGAAATAACTAATCGGATGCATAGTTATTCGTTTGAGACTTTGTCTGATTTGAAATTAAAGACATCTTCACCATCAACATTGAGTACATCCACATCTGTCTCGAAGTAAATGACATTACAGAATATTCGTAAGTAAAAAAAAACGTACATTTGTTTTAAACATGACTGACAAAACTTCGCAGATAATGAGGGTTTTGGATTGAGATATGTGGAAATACAGTCTGGGAATGATAGGAATCAAGTAGTTAATATTACTATACTAAGGGAATAAAGGGAACTCACAATCGCTGAAAGGTCTTCAACACCAGTAATAATGCAGAAATAGGAATGATTAACTAGGACAAATGAAGTCGTTGATATTGAAAAATGATTTACAATGACTAGGACAACACAAGAGATTGAGATAAAATATTATGGGGCAGGACCTCGCTCTCACAGAATACCAGCGTAAAATAGCAGCTTAATGCTGCTGTGTTTGCATGCCTGAAGCGCAAAGCGCGTAGGTATGTTCTACTAGGGCCTAAAAATCAAGATTCCAACGTTTTGTCGCATGAAATCGTACCTAACAATCATATTGAACATATAAGTGATACAAAAAGCACATTGTCAGAAAGATAAATGATTCTTGCACTTATTAATTTTTTTCAACTTTTATCACCCGACATTAATTGTTTTCGTTTTCAGACTTTGATATAGAGAACTTTTAGAAAGCGTGTCTATGTTCCACAAATAGATGTACAACATTTAAGAAGATGTACAAACAATCCATCAATGTATATTTTCAATGGATTTAATGGACAAAAGACAAAGGTTATTAATGGTAAAATTATTTCAATGGTAGAATATTATAAATTATTGCCACTTTTTCACAAAACACATTACTCCATCCACGCAACACCCGGTCCCCGTCCATGTGGTTAAAGACGGTCTGGTGGTGGGTGAGTCGTCACGGACATAAACCACGCGTTCATTAAATTTTAAAGAGTTATTTTAATTTTATACATAATTAAGAAGTCCAAACTTTAGTAGGCCGTCACCGGCATCATTTCGCATAAACGCCGGCTAGAAACTTAGCTAGGAACAGCTGCTGCATTCAACATGTCTTATCATAAAAAACTCACTAGGGCGTTTTAGAGGCCGGGTAGACGCGACCAATTCGACCAATGTCTAAGAGGCCGATTGGTCGCGGCTATTGGTCGAAGAGTCCGATCAGTCGCGACTATTGCTCGAAGAGGCCGAGTAGTCGCGGCTAGTGGTAGTGGAAGAGGTCGAGGAGGCGGCGGTTGAACGCGAGCCGCGGCTTGAAGTCCGCACTGGGCTCCTCCTCGTTGCGGATGCAGAAGTAGCTGCTGATCGCACTGCGGCAAATCGGGCACTTGTCCAGTTTCGCTGTAACCAATTTATAGTTTGTTAATTGAGGCATTTCTTATATGTAATGTGATGTTTAAAAATTGTAAATGCAGTAAAATCTTTATACAGGCTAATGTAAGCCATTGGTATCCATTTAAACTAAGAATATACTCATGATACAAACTACGTTGGGACTAAAACGCAAATCTAAAGTTTTAATATTATATTTATGCAAATTGCTCGAAGAGGGGAGGGTCAAGAGTACTCGGATATCTAGACATGCATGTATGAAGAAGATAATGAATCTGAAAGAAGCGAAAGAGGTATGTAAGGATCGTGACACTTGGCGATCTGTTCTCTCTGGCTACCCCGTCAGGGATTGTGCATAAAGATAATATTAGAACAGAAACTTTTTTATTTAATATATGGTTCGAAAAAATACCTGTCCAGGAAATAATCGGCAAGAAACCAAGGGGGATATAAAAAAAACCCAGTTTACAATCATATTTATTATGTTACACAATTAACTACACAAAACAAATTAGAAACACTGTGGGTCCGTGAGTTTGTATATATGTATGTATGTTATGTATGTTGCAACACTGTTTCAAATAGCCAACAATATTATGTAAAGTATTGAACATTGAGACAACCTCGACTGCTTCATTGTTCTAGTGGTACCGCTGATCATTAGTGCCTATTGGGTTTAAGTCCTGGATCGGACCAAAATCAGATGGCAGTGTTTCATAACCGTGCCTCAGAAAGCACGTAAGTCCGTTGGTCCAGCGCCTGATCTCTCTCCTATCGTGTCGGATTGCCGTCCCATCGGACTACGAGAGCGAGGGAATAGTGAGTGCACCTGTGCTTGCGCACACACTCGTGCACTATAATCCTGTCCTGTGTAGACGGCTAGTCTCTATTAGGACTGGTCGCCGTCACCCAAATTCGGTCTGGACGATTCTTTTTCTTTATTATTAATCAATATTGAATAGAATATTAAGATAAAAAAGTAACAAAACTTAAAACGATTTAATATTCAAAAAATAATAGTTTTGCTGTCATGCCATTTACGAAACATTGTTTTAACACCCAGAAATAGAAGTGGGACGTCCAAGGTAAAATCATTTTATTAATTTAGGCGCCTAGGAAGTCAGGGAGACCTTGAAAACAATCTAAGCTTGTTCAAAAAGATCTTTACGAAAGTATCCACATAAATAAAGCTGAAGTGTCTTGTCTGTAATATTGAAATAATTGGCTTCTATTAAGCTAAGCGGGTTACTTGCGTGCTATAAAGACATAAATAACCATATTTAAAATTGTTGTCTGTCTGTCCGTCTGTCCGGGCTAGACATCGGAATAGCAGAACCGACAGTGATTAAACGTTACGAACAGATAAAGCAACGCCAGAAATCCCTCCTAGGCTGTATTTCATCCGAAAAACTTGAATTTTTTTTAGGGAAATTGAATATTAATAAAATAAAAAAATGGTCGTTGATTATCTTAAATCGAAATAACGCCACATTAATAGCTCCTACCGAAGCGAAATCGGGGCGGGTTGTTAGTTAAGAAATATACAGAAGTTACATATTTTTTCGTCATCCAAAATTTTTTTTAAGGTAAGGCCGAAAAAAGAGCGCAAAATCCATCATTGACATCTTTATTCTTATCAACGTGATAGAGCCATGCTGCAGCTATATTTGTAGTATAGTTGTAGCATGAATGGGTCGGCTCGACCGGTGAAGGACCACGCTCTCACAGAGTACCAGCGTAAAATTGCAGCTTAACACTGCTGTGTTTCGTATGGTGAGTGTAGAGAAACGGAGACCCTTTTTACTCGAAACGAGGCATCCCATCCTAGTCTTCACTCTTTACGCGTAACAACGCTTCTGCATTTTGATTCGCAAACAAGAATAGATGTATGTAGATGTCTATGGGCCGCGGCAGCCACTTACCATCGGGTGAACTGTGTGCTCGTTTGTCACCCTATCCTATAAAAAATCCTCGATAAAGAATCATAATATAGCGTTGCCACACCTAACGACGATAGAAATGCCTTGTTCCCAGTAATAATGGTCTGCAGCATGAAGCTGCTATTTTATATTATTATAAGCAATTAACAACAGCGCCATCTACTCAAATTCAAATGCACAGAAAAGAATTCATTAAAATCGTTCTAGCCGTTTTCGACTTTTAGCGAGACTAACGGCAGCAATATATTTTTATCTTTATATATAAAAATTACGTGTCACATTGTTTGTCCGCGATGAACTCCTAAACTACTGAACTGATTTCAATGAAATTTTGCACACTGTGTGTATTTTGGTCCAACTTGAGAGATAGGATAGTTTTTATCCCGATAAGTGACCCTCAATATTTTTTATTACAAAATTAAGAATTTTTATAGGACACAGGGTCGTCGGAGAGGGCAGAACAACGTCTGCATGGTCAGCTAGTATATTATATAGATTTTAATTTAATTATGTTTTCCACACAATGTATGTTGTTATTGGAATAAATGACTAAGGCTATGATTATTATCGAGGCATTGAAACTATTCTTTCAAACAGTATGCAGATGACGTGTGACATTAGTGGTGTTGGTTTCAAGTTCAATACGTGGACGCGAGCGGAATTTATCAGCTGCGTTACGAAAGAGTTGCGGCGATGCATACTTATGAGAGCCCTTGGCGCTATCTCGGCTAATGATCGCCCCAATGTTATTGAAGCGGTAACCTGCTACGTTGATTGTTTATTAGCACGTTGCAATTGTATGATATACTAGCTTTTTGGCTTTTGGCTTGTGCATTTTTATTTAAACGTTACAACTAGTGTATTATTATTACGTATTATTAACGTTGCAACCTATTAAAGTCCACTCCTGAATATATGCCTCACAAATAAATTGCCTGATAGAGGGGGATATTTGCCATAGTTGCCAGATGGCTCCTGATTTGTTTCCCTCTGTCGCCTCTTACGACACCCACGGGATGATATGGGGTGGTGGATGTTCTTACACCGCGACTACACGGTAAAGTTATTATTGTTAAATATTATTTAAACGTTACATATCAGAGCCGTGGTGGTTCAGAAGAGCCGTGCTAGCTCGGATGGTTAGCGCTCACTGTTAGTTTCACAGTACGCGAGCAAACCCGGGATCGATCCCTGTGCCCCGATGAAACTGTTAATTGCAATTTTAAGTGCCGATTTCCTACGTGCTCGACGGTGAAGGAAAATATCGCGAGGAAATATCTGCATGTCTGAGAAATATAAAAAAATATTTCGAAGAGATCCTTGCCCTAAAACCCTCTCAGAAATGAGACGAGGCCTGTGCCTAGCAGTGGGACGTATGTAGGCTGAAACTTTAAACGTTACACTATTATTTTCTCCTGTATAGTGGAGGCAGTTTACAAAATATTGCACAAGGATGAACATCCAGACCCGAAACAACCTATTTCGCCCACTTAGGGGTTGAATTTTTCAAAATCATTTCTTAGCGGATGCCTATGTTTAGAAGGCCAATTGAACCAGACTTGTTATAATTAATAGAATCAGGCGTCACTTTGCGGAAATCCATTATAATGGGGTTGTTATAAACTAATTTGCTTAATTCCGCGTAAAGAAAGAAAATTATGTGTCCTGCACAGTTTTAAGGGGACCTCCCACCCTCCCTCAATCGCGCGCACTATACCCGTCGCCGTTAATCCCAGCACTACCACCCCCAGCACCAGCACACTAGGCACGACACACCACTCTCGAAAATACGACACGTGTTTCGCCTCTACACGAGGCATCTTCAGGTGAAGTAGACTCTGCGGAGGCTGGCCGCTAAGAAGCTCTAATGTCACTTAATTTTACGCTGGTATTCTGTGAGAGCGTGGTCCTTCCCCGGTCGAGGCGACCCATTCGTGCTACAACTACACTACTAATATAGCTGCAGCATGGCTCTACCACATATAAAAAGTCTTGATATTATTTTCAAATTTGAATTTTTGTATTTTTACATCCGTTTATTTTTTATCCTCATATTATATTATACTGTTCATATTATATTATCTCTGACTTTTAAAAGTTTAAGAACAATAGCTGTTTTTCTTTATTCAAGGAAAACAACCAGCTAAAACAATACATAATTAATGTTTAAATTAAGTTATTATAGCCCGTGATGTTATCTAATAAAAACTAATGATAACTTGGTCACTGGACAGTAATACTAATATATACAATTTTATTTATGTGACATATTTTTACGGTAATTTTATAACAGTCTGACAATGAAAGAGAGATATTAAAACTAGGGACTATATAAGTTGCTGGATGGCAGATATAAAATTAAAAATGTTTAAATTAAATATATCCAATATATTTAATTTGAACATAATGTTGGTAATAGAAATTACGCTCTAACAAAAATCTATTTCTTGCATACTTAGCCTTTACAAGGGAATGTAAGAGATAGATTTTAAGTGAAGCCGCGGATTGATCCTAGGACACAAATGGGATTTTAATTCATAAGTATGGAGTGGAATGGAATGGGATGGAATTGTTAATAATTTTGTACAAAAAGATAATATCGCGGTGTTCACGCCTGGTTTAGAGATTTTTTTTTAATAAGTCTTACCAACTAAATACATAAAAGGAACTTATAATATCACGATTAAAAAAAAATACATTATACATATGCATTTAAATTAAAGGTATGCACAGCATTTTTTAATGATAAAAGATGTTGTTTTACATAATACATATTAAATTTTTTAAACTTTTTTTTAGTAAAGACAAAAATATGAAAGAATTAGAAACCAAAAATAAAAACACTAAAAACTAAAAAACTAAAAATGGCTCTTGCAACAATCGGTGCGGTACAGTGTAATGTAGTGCGGTACAGTGTAATGTAGTGCGGTATAGTGTAATGTAGTGCGGGACAGTGTAATGTAGTGCGGTACAGTGTAATGTAGTGCGGTACAGTGTAATGTAGTGCGGTACAGTGTAATGTAGTGCGGGACAGTGTAATGTAGTGCGGTACAGTGTAATGCAGTGCGGTACAGTGTAATGTAGTGCGGGACAGTGTAATGTAGTGCGGTACAGTGTAATGTAGTGCAGTACAGTGTAATGTAGTGCGGTACAGTGTAATGCAGTGCGGTACAGTGTAATGTAGTGCGGGACAGTGTAATGTAGTGCGGTACAGTGTAATGTAGTGCGGTACAGTGTAATGTAGTGCGGTACAGTGTAATGCAGTGCGGTACAGTGTAATGTAGTGCGGTACAGTGTAATGTAGTGCGGGACAGTGTAATGTAGTGCGGGACAGTGTAATGTAGTGCGGTACAGTGTAATGTAGTGCAGTACAGTGTAATGTAGTGCGGTACAGTGTAATGCAGTGCGGTACAGTGTAATGTAGTGCGGGACAGTGTAATGTAGTGCGGTACAGTGTAATGTAGTGCGGTACAGTGTAATGTAGTGCGGTACAGTGTAATGCAGTGCGGTACAGTGTAATGTAGTGCGGTACAGTGTAATGTAGTGCGGGACAGTGTAATGTAGTGCGGTACAGTGTAATGTAGTGCGGTACAGTGTAATGTAGTGCGGTACAGTGTAATGCAGTGCGGTACAGTGTAATGTAGTGCGGTACAGTGTAATGTAGTGCGGTACAGTGTAATGCAGTGCGGTACAGTGTAATGTAGTGCGGTACAGTGTAATGTAGTGCGGTACAGTGTAATGTAGCATGCACTTACGTAGACATCGCGCGCAGAGGCAGGCGTGGCGGCAGGGCAGCAGCGCGCGCGACAGCGGCGCGGCCGCGCACACGCAGCACTGCGCGCACTCGCGCGCCTCCATGGCGCCCACCTCGCCTGATTCGCTCGACACGTACAGTTGCTGCAGCGAAACACACGAACCGCGTTATTGTACAACGAAATAACGATACAGTGCCGCGTGCCGTGTGGCGGCCAATAGAATCCATCTCCCTATTTCGTTTAGAAAATGTCGAAATGGAGTGATGTATTCTCTCTGAGAATGAGTCGCTCGCGTCCGTAGGCTTCGACCACTTAACCCTACACGTGTCCCCCGGGTGGTGCTAAACGAGCGATAAAGCCGAAAGAACAGACTCGGCTCCTCGCCGTATGGCGGCGGCGTAAAATCTACCACTCCCAATTTCCCACCATGAGGCATAAAATAAAAGAAATGGCCCCGAGTTCCCGGCGCCCCTTTAATGGGGCAGGGGGTGCGAAGAATTTCCAGGAATAAAACCGGCGACGAAGTTCGCCACCCGTCACGTTCTGCCTCCCGGAGGGGCGAAAAGTGGATTGGGGAAGTCCGTCTGGCTACGTTGAATATACATGGAGCAATGAATGAAAAGATGGATCAAGTATGCGAAATGATATATGATAGAGGAAGACATGTGTTATGTGTAAATGAGACGAAACGAAAAGGATACGTTACAACTGCACATGACTTACTGGTCTGGTTTAGACGAGACCGAGCGGGCATGCCAGTGAGCCGGTATAATCCTTTCAGAAATAATGAGGCTGCAATGGCTACGTATGAAAGTGGGCTTGAAGAAGTTGTTTATTCTATGTGTATACGCCCCAGACATGTCTAAGCCCAGTTATATCCGAGAGCAGTTTTGAGAGATGGTAATGATGGTGGTAATGAAATGTAAAGGAAATGAAAATATGTTATGTCAGGAGATTTTAATACAAGTGTTGGGTTGAAGAAGTCTAGTTATGAAAGGTTATTGGGAACCTTTGCACAGTATGTGTGGAAAAGAATATTTAAGTAACCAACACTTTCGTTCGTCTTAAGAAGATTCACATACACTTTTGGCGACCAATTAATTGTCATTATCAACTTAGTCCTATTAAATGTCACTTACAAAAATGTAACTATGAAAAACAAACACAATAAAATTCGATAATATACTAAATAACACAAACAACATAGATTCTGTCTCAGTGTCGGATTCATCTACCTGTGATTTAGACAACTGTATCCCATTTAATTTCAACCCCAAGCAATCACTCAAAATACTTAATCAAAATATTAGAAGTATTTCAAAAAATATGATAGGTTTCTTTACCATACTCGCTAGGACTAAGGTCGATTGGGACATCATCACATTAACCGAATGTTGGCTTCCCAATACACATAATATTCCTGACCTAACAGGTTATAAATACTTTAAGACTACTAACAATCTAACACAAAATCAGGGAGTAGTTGTATACATACATGAAAACCTACAGGTTTTTGTAGAGGAACCGTCATTTTTAGATGCAAATTGTCTCCAAATAAAAATAAACTATAATACCATTTTGTTAGCAATATATCGACCACCAAGTTATAGAGATATCACTAACTTCCTGCATTCGCTTGACATAATCCTGACTAATATCACACATTATAACAATATAATAATAACCGGGGACATAAATATTAACATCCAGGAACAATGCCATGACACAAACAAACTTAATTATTTAAATTTATTAGCATCACACGGCCTGCTGCCTGCACATTTTTTGCCCACTAGACAAAATGCATGTCTTGATCATTTTGTCCTTAAAACTCTATTGCTTGCTTCAACATTAGTAGCTCACTCAGCACTAACTGATCATGAAACCGTGTTATTATTTCTCGCAAGCAAAATGCCCAAAATCACGATTAAAAAAACAACGACGCGCATTAACTATGATCAGTTGACTGACGACATAAAATTAATCGACTTTAGTGAAGTATATAATACCGAAGATCCTCACGTAGCAGCAGATTTAATGATAAGTCTTATCAAACAAGCGGTCCAAAAAAACACAAAAACCGTGAAAGTACCAAACCGTAAAAAAATCATTAAGCCATGGATCACTCCAGGTCTCTTACGCTGTATCCGACACAGAGACAATATGCACAAAAAATTAAAAAAGTCGCCAGACAATGAAGTATTAAAAACATCTTTTACTAGGTACAGAAATTATTGTAATAAGTTGTTAAAAAAAATTAAATTGGAATATGAAAAAAATGAATTAAAAAAGACTAGTAATAATCCTAAAAAACTCTGGGGAGCAATAAATAACATAACAAATAGGGCAAAAAAGAAAGAAAATTCATCCTATCACTTATTAACCACATCATCCACTCCGGAGCTATCTGTTAATTCAGTTAATGAATTTTTCGCTAATATAGGTAAAAATCTCGCGGAAAAGATATCGGATGGACTTACAGAGTCAATAAAAAAAGCTTTTAACAACAACAATAACAACAACTCGCACTCCATGGTATTGTTACCAACGGATGAGGACGAGGTTGCAAGATTAATATTATCTCTCCGTAATGACTGTGCTGTGGGTTGGGATGGAATACCCTCTAATCTCCTTAAAAGGCATATTAATGTAGTTGTCCCACCCCTGACATATATCTGCAATCTGGCTCTCACAACCGGAAAATTTCCTAAAGCTTTTAAAAAATCGATCATACACCCGATTTATAAGGGTGGGGACAGAGACCATGTCAATAATTATAGACCTATAGCTGTGCTGCCTGCCTTGTCCAAAATACTCGAACGCATAATAAACAACAGGCTCGTAAACTACTTGGAAAAACATAACTTTCTTTCGCCCTCACAATATGGTTTTAGGTCAGGTAAATCTACCTCGGATGCGATTCATGATCTTACTAATTATATTGTTACAAACTTGGACAATGGGCAGAAGGTTCTTGGCATATTTCTAGATCTCGCCAAAGCTTTCGACACGGTTTCTGTACCCATACTTTTACGTAAGATGGAGAGTTTGGGAATTAGAGGTATACAACTGCAACTTTTTGAAGACTACTTGAGTGGACGTACTCAGTGCGTTCAGGTGGATAAATTCATCAGTACTGAACGCACAATTACCTATGGTACGCCTCAGGGCAGTGTACTCTCTCCAACCTTATTTCTAATATATATTAATGAAATGAGTATGCTCACTCTTCCTAAAGGGCGGATAATAAGTTATGCAGATGATACCGTCCTCCTATTTAACGCAGGTTCATGGCAAGATGTCTATACGTACGCCCAGCTGGGCTACAACACAGTCTCTAACTGGCTCCGAAGTAATGTGCTGACACTCAACATAGATAAAACATGTTATGTTGCATTTAGATTAAAAAATAACACATTAACAACATTATCACCACCATACTCTATCGTAAGTCACTCATGTTCCAACTCACTCAATAACGCGGATACCTGCATCAAACTGTGTCAAGCTGAAAAAGTAAAATATCTAGGAGTAATAATTGATAGCACTCTACGTTTTCATGAACACATTAATACCCTTAATAGCAGGTTGCGTAAACTTATATATGTTTTTAAAACTCTGAGAGATGTGGCTGACGAGAAACTAAAGAAATCCGTCTACTTCGCCTTGGCCCAATCTCTGTTAACATATGGTATTACCTCCTGGGGCGGTGCTCCAAAAACTAAAATGCTTCAATTGGAGAGAACGCAGAGAGCCATCTTAAAGGTCTCTTTTTCACTGCCGTATCGCTATCCTACAGAGCTCCTATATAAAGAGTTGAAAATTTTAACTGTGCGGCAACTGTTTATACAAAGTACGTTACTAAAACAACATGCTTTATTAAAATACAACCCCTCACTCTCCCGAGATAAAAGGCGTTTTAATCCCGTGGACCGCTATCATATAACTCTATCCACCAAATTATCTAAACGTTTCTTTTGTCACCTTGGAGGTTTCTTATACAATAAAATCAATAAAATTATCCCTATATTTAACCTTAACAAAACTATATGCAAAAAGAAAATAACTATCTGGCTCCAAGAACTAAATTATTATGACACTGAACAACTACTTACTAATTCTATCTAATTACTAATGTAATAAAAGTTAATTACTAACCCAGTCACAAACTAACAAACAAAAGCATACACACATACATACACACACACACACACACACACACACACACACACACACACACATGCCCACACACACACCCACACCCACACACACACACACACACACACACACACACCCACACCCACACACCCACACACCCACACACACACACACACACACACACTCACACACACACACACACACACACACACCCACGCACCCACGCACCCACGCACCCACGCACCCACGCACCCACGCACCCACGCACCCACGCACCCACGCACCCACGCACCCACGCACCCACGCACCCACGCACCCACGCACCCACGCACCCACGCACCCACGCACGCACGCACGCACGCACCCACGCACCCACGCACCCACGCACCCACGCACCCACGCACCCACGCACGCACGCACGCACGCACGCACGCACGCACGCACGCACGCACGCACGCACGCACGCACGCACGCACGCACGCACGCACGCACGCACGCACGCACGCACGCACGCACGCACGCACGCACGCACGCACGCACGCACGCACGCACGCACGCACGCACGCACGCACGCACGCACGCACGCACGCACGCACGCACGCACGCACGCACGCACGCACGCACGCACGCACGCACGCACGCACGCACGCACGCACGCACGCACGCACGCACGCACGCACGCACGCACACACACACACACACACACACACACACACACACACACACACACACACACACACACACACACACACACACACACACACACACACACACACACACACACACACACACACACACACACACACACACACACACACACACACACACACACACACACACACACACACACACACACACTAATACTAGTTAATATATGTAGAATCCTAAGTAAATGAAAGGAGATATTATGTAAATTATAAATATGGTACATGTACGATTGCATAATAAAAGTATTGTAATTAGAACCATAGGGCGGAGACCTGG